CCCCCCCCCCGCACCCGATACGCAGACCCCACTACGGCCCCCAAACCGGAGGTCTGGGTCGCGCCTAGCGGAGGGGTCGGGGGGCGTACTGCTCTGTACTGGCGGTGCGCGCTGGCCAGCCCCTGCCTGTCTCTCTCTACCCGCCAGGACCCCGGACAGCCGCACCCGCGCCCCCAGCGCACTGACTCCGGTTCCCAAACCGGTCTTTCAGGTCCCTGGAAGGTGGCGTCAGCGTCTGCAGCCGCGTCGACGTTGTTGGAGCTTCCGCGGAGGACCTAGGAGAGCCGGACTAGGACCAGGGCCCTGGGCCTCCCAATGGAGAAGTCAGCTGCCTCAACTGAGCCCCAGGGGCCTCGGCCAGTCCTGGGCCGCGACAGCGTCCAGGTGCCCGACGACCAGGACTTCCGCAGCTTCCGGTCAGAGTGTGAGGCCGAGGTGGGCTGGAACTTGACCTACAGCAAGGCCGGCGTGTCTGTGTGGGTGCAGGCTGTGGAGATGGATCGTACCCTGCACAAGATCAAGGTAGGGTTGCCCTGCAGCAGGTGTAGTCTGCACTGCACCCTTACTTCCTCTGACCAGGGAGTCTCCTGGTCCTCCCGCAGGGTTAGACACCCGGTTGTACACCTCAGACTCTCCTGTGAGAAACCAGGAGGAGGCACAGTTTGCTGGGCAAGCCCCCATCTCACAGGTGGGCCAACTGAGGCCTGGAGAGGGGGTGTGACTCCCTCTGGCTCACTCAGCCAGAACCCAGGCTTCTGCACACCCCTGCCTGATCCGGGGAGGTGGGCTGCTGTCAGGCCTACCTAGGAGAATGGTTTCCCTCAGGGAGCCCTCTGCCCATGGAAGCCTTCACCACGTCCTGACTTGAGGCATCTGAGGAGGGAGACTGAGCCCTTCTCTCCTGATTTCTTGGTTCTCTCAGCCTGAGCTGGGTCTCTTTCCCCACTCTCTGCACCCTTGGGTGCCAGGGACCTGATTCCTTCCTGTCTGATGCTCTGCTCTTCCCCCTTCCCTCCTGGGTGTTCCCTGAGTCTCTCCTGCAGGGACTCAGGATCCTGGCCAGCAGATCCTGAAAGCAGGGCTTAGATGTCTCTGCCTTACACAGGACCAGACTGGGGGTGGGCTGGGGGAGGAGAGGACCAGCAGATGCAAGGAAGATGTAGGCACATTCAGCCTCCCTCATACCCATCAACCCCATTCCTCACAACCCCCTGATTTTCTTCTCTTTGCCAGGATAGGGCCGGCTTGGGGTTTGGGACCCCGTGAGCCCACCTACCCTGGGGAACTAGATGGGGAATAGGCTGGTGAAGACTCTGAGAGGCCTCGGTAGCTTCCTCCAACACAACACATCTGGCATTGCTGTGAGTGCCACTTTTCAGGGGGGCACGTCTCCCTTCAGTGGGGTCCTGGCAGTAAACTGTACCCTTCCCTTTCTCTTGCCTCACCCTTCCTGCTGCCCTTCTCGAACATGTGGAGGAGTGTATTCCTGTGGTGGAGGGGGGCAGAGGTGGAAGCAGGACACTGAACTCAGAGGGTACTCCTGCCCTCCCCCTACTTCAGCCCCTCTTGCCTGGGACCTGCTCTTGGATTTGGATTTAGCTCTGGCATCATGGCCTCATACCAGGGCCAGAGATGTCTGACCTTCCCTCTCTGACCCTGTGCCTTTCTGCCTCTGTCTTGGTCATTTAGACCTTTGTCCACCTGTCCCCGTGTGGTCTTCTGGCTCACCCATTCTGTCTTCCCTTTTTCCTTCTATAATTCTCTGTCTGCACCCTGGCTATCTGACTGTCTCTTTCTCTCTGGGTTTCCATGTGTGTCTCCCCTCTTGGGACTCTCTACCCAGGCCTGAGGACCCTGGGCTGGGGCCTTCGCGGAGGCCTGACCTGTGTCTGAGCCTGAGGAGCAGGGAAGGGAAGGGCAACTGGTATGTTCCAGCTTAGTGCTCTCTGAAGACAGGGACAGGTCCTATCCTTCTTTGCGTCCTCAGCCTCCAACACAGACAGAGCAGGGATGTTGGTTGAATGAAGGATGGAAGGAAGGAAGGAACGAAGAAACAAACTGAATAAAAGGTGAGCAAAGTTGTTGTGAGACCAAGGTTGTTTTCCTGACTGTGACCTAGGAAAGGCTCAAAGGCTGGGCTGTGCAGTGGGGTGGGGAAGTGTAATTTCCCCACCGAGCTGGCTCTCCAGAAGGAAGAGAAGGGGAAAGTCTGAACTGAGACCAGTACTCCCACCCTCTGTGTCAATAGGGCGGAGCTGCCTCCTCCATCTGGCTTGGTTAATGAATAAACCCAGCCTAGTCCAGGACTGGAGTTGGCAGTTCTGGGGACCAGAGTGCCACAATGGACCCCTTGTGGCCAGATCAGATTTGTCAGGTGTTCTTCCTTGGGAGTGGAGGGGACTTGGAAAAACGGGGGTATTGTGGGCTTGTGGTCAGGGCATACACCTGACCTTCCTTCCCTCTCAGACTCAGCAGAGGTTGGAGGTACCTTTACAACCCCAGTTTCATACTCACCCCTCACTGGGGTGCAAGTATGGACACGGAGGTCCAGAGAGGAACAGGGGCCAACCCAGACTCACACAGCCAAGTCCCAGCAGAGCCAGACTTGGCACCCAGACCTTTAGCCTCACTGCCTAGTTCCCTCTGCTGTGCTCCCCACAGTGGAGGGGGGACTGGGGCCAGGAGGTGAGCAGAGCTGGGGCCTAAGGAGGAGGCTGGGGCCTTGGTTATGGGCATCCCGAGATCTCTGATTCACTCAGCACAGCCAGATGGAGCTGTGGGGGACAGGCAGAGGTCTCTGAGCTCCCCATCCCCAAGATTCCAGGAATCCATTTCTGATAAGAGCCCCTGCTCTGAGCCAAGCGTTTCTCTCCATGGTCTAATTTACCCTCCGGCCAGTCCTGGGCAGTAGTAGTCTTGTCTCCATGCTACAAACAAGGAAACTGAGGCTGAGAGAGGTGATGTCACTTGCCTAAGGTCATATCAGGTGAGGCAGGAGTGGAACCCAGGACAGCCTGGCTCCAGAGCCCCTGCCTCTCTCAGCTTGGGCTCACATCTTAGTCAACATTCTGGCATTTGACCCCATCAATAACTTTGAAGGACGTGGTGTTCTCATCATCCCATTCTTGTTTGATAAATGAGAAAGCTGAGGCCCAGAAAGGGGAGTGGCTTGTCAAGGTCACACAGCAGGTCTGAAGCCAGAGTCCCCCGGGTCACTCTGGGAGGCTGCAACTCAACCACAGGTATTTGTTGAGCTCCCCCCTCCCCACAGCCTGTTCTGGGCCTGCCCTCTGAGCTGGAAAAGCCAGCTGCCTCCTGTACATGCCCTGTGTGCGTGATCCCAGGTTGGGGGAGCGGGTCCACCTATCTGCCTACCTGATTGATTTCCTCCACCTCACTCCCTTTCCCCCAGACTTATCTTCTCCTTGCCCCTGCGTCCAGAGGTTCCTGGAAGACACTGTGGCTCTGGCCCAGCATTTGGAGCCAGGACAAAGGGACAGGCCACCTCTTCCCTTTCCCTCCCTCCTGGCCTCCGGCCTGGTCTGGTCCCAAGCCTGCACCGTGCTCCGGGCACTGGAGAGGAGGCAGATACCACCTCCTGAGAGGTCAGGCTTCGTCCCAAAGGCAGCCGCTGAACATGGATCCTGGGTCCAAGGCAGAGGGAAGCTTGGAACCTGAATACAGGTCTCTCAATGCCCAGGCCAGGCTTCCCCACAGCTCCTGTAGCAGTAGAGAAATGGGAAACCAGGGGGTCTGTCATTTATTCAAGCAGGGCCAGCTGGGGAAGAGGCTGAGGTCTAGTCCTGGCTATGGTATTCTTTTGCTGTGTTTGTGACTGTGGGCACATCCCTGCCCTCTCTGGGTTATGTCTCCATCTGTGCCATGGGGCTCTCCTGGCTCCAAGGGCCTCTAAACTCAGCGCCTGGGCTGGGGTCCATGGAGAGGGATGAAGCACAGGGGACAGAAAGCAGGAGATGACACGGCCTGCCCAGCCCTGCCCTGGATGCTCATGTGCTCGGGCTCTCTGATGCTGCTGTTTACCTAGCCACCTGAGAGGCAGAGGAGACTTGGCCCCTGTCCTCAGAGGTGTCCAGACCTTGGTGGAGAGAACACTGACAATTCCAGGTGACCCCCTGCCCACTGCATGAGGCAGGTGTCCATAGGCAGACCACAGAGGCAGGAGTGGGCCCGGTGGGTAGGGTCCTCGAGGGGCTTGACGGTTGAAGCCGGGGTGCGAGGTCTCCTGGGGGAGTGCAGCTGAGAACCTGAGGTTCCTCTTGCCACAAGAAGCTGGGTGGTGGGGACCTATCTCCTCTGACTTCCTGTCCTACGACTCCTCCTCTTCCCCTTTGGAGAAAGCTTCAGTGACCCCTCCCTGACCTGTCTCACTGTCTACCTGCTTCCACACCACAGGCCCTCTGGGTTCCAAGCTCTTAAGCCAGTGGTGTGGCCTGTCCCCTCTCAGCACCTCATTCTCTTCCCCTGTAAAATTTGGGATCATCTCAGGGATCTCCAAGGACCCTTCTCACTCTTAATGGTCCATGGGACTCAAAAGGGTTGTGGGGAAGGTGGGGACGGCCGCAGGGCCAGGTGTTTTCTTCATGTTGTCCCACTGAGTCTTCACAACTGTCCTGTGGCAGTTGTGAGTCTTATGAACTCCATTGAACAGATGTGAAAGCTGAGGTTCAGGGCAAGAATTCACTTGTGCAGTCAAACAGCTAGAAGGTAGCCGAGGCAGGATCAGAGCCCAGGTCCTTGAGACTCCAAGGCCAAGATCTCTTCACTCCCTTGGGCCTGCTTATTAGCACCATTGGGCCCTTCCGTCTCCTGGACACTGTGGCTCAGAACCTACCCCTGTCTTCTGCCTTCGGTCTCCCTGTACTGTGCCGTTGTGGGAGGGCACCCTGGAGTGGTCCCAGCTGAGCAAGAGCCCAGTCCTTACTGTGTGACCTTGGGGGGTCACTTCACCTTTACGAGTCAGTCTTCTTATCTGTGGTGGCAGAGGCAGGAGTTAATTGAGGTTTAGGGGTTTGGATTCAGTGAGTTCAGGTTCAGGCTGGGCCTCTGCCGCTCAGTTTCCCTCCTCTACAGGAAGAACTTCCTTCTCTATAGGAAGTTGCTGGGCAGGTGGTTTGTAGAGGCTGTCCTGGCCTTAGGCCGTGGTAAAGGCTTCTGCACTGCTGGACACAGAGTAAGGACGCAGAGCTAAGGCCATGACAGTCTGTGCCATCTGAGAGGTCCCTAGATGGGGCTCCTGAATCCAGGCTGAGGCCCTGAGACCCCTATCCTGGATGGCTCTAGCTCTGACTTGGTGTGAGGGCAGCTGGAGGAAGTGGTCCAGAGCTGTCCTCAGGGGACAGGCAGGCTCCCAGAGAGCATGCCCCCAGCCAGTCAGGGTCTGGACCTTCAGGTGCAGGAAATCAGAGAGAGGAAAGGTCAGAGGTGGCTGGAGGCTTCAGGGAAGTCTTTGTGGAGATGCCTGGGTTGGTCTGAGGCCATAGCGGGAGAGCACAGGGTCCAGA